GTTCGCGCTACAAACCCACTATAACAAATAGGAGAAACTGATAGCGAACAGCAAGGATCCTGATCAGACTGCGCGGATCCATGCTGGTCGCAACCCATTTATGTTGGTTTTGTCGTGACACGGCTCAATTATGTAAACAAGAATGGCCTTTTATTCCTACCTGGATCACTGTTTGTTGTTCTCAGTGATTTACAGAATATCATTGACGTATTATTAAACAAAAATTTTAAATCTTAAATATGAATCAGTTTGAGTTCACAGTCTGATTAACATAGTGAAATTTATTTTTCTTTGATACTTAGAAATTGACGAATGCGCGAGTAACCCATGTCAACATGGCGCCACCTGCACAGATTTCGTCGGCAAATACAAATGCACGTGCCTGCCTGGTTACACGGGAGTCAACTGTGAAACAGGTTATACATTTGTGTTTGGTTTACTCAAGATATAAAGATAAATGAGGTTAAGAGGAACATTAAATCCTACAAATTAAATCCTAGCTCGTTCTGTAGGTGGAGCATACATACGTTTTGTACTGTTGTAACAATGGATTTAGAAAATTTGAGAGCCTATAACTTAAAAAATGTAGTGCTGAATGCGTCAAAGTTTGTTATAAAAAATGCAAAATGTAAAAAATACAGTACAGTTCAGTGCAATGCAGTGCCGTGCAGGGCAGGGCAGGGCAGGACAGGGCAGTGTTGTGCAGTACAGTACTGTACAGTACAATACAATACAATACAGTACAATAAAATACAATTTTCGATACTTAGTAAAAAATACATATGTAACAACAGGCAATTGACAATTAATATCAATATTGAACATATGTGGGTACATTTAAACACATTTAGTAAGAACAGACATGCAAAATATTTTAAAACAAACAATTTTGTAACCATAACATGTCTAAATTTTACAAAATTGTTTGACAAAAAACCAAAGTGGTATTTTGACTTCCATAAAATACTTAATCACTATAACTATACTAATTGCAAAAGATGGCTCAGTTTTATTGGAAGAGTAATTATTTGGAAACTGTTTCAAGAAAAAGAAAACCTTCAATAAAAATATAAAAATAATATCATTATTTTGAAAGTTTTGAAAGAGCTTTTAAGTTAAGAAACAAAAACATCTATTATTCAAGTTATTCTACAAATACGTATTCTTAAAGGACACTTTGGATATCATGCTGTTCGAAACACAATAACCTTTAAATCCGACATTCTGGAAAATCATCTCCAAAGGCACATTTTCAAAAGCTATTTCTACATGAAAGCAAATATGTATGACAGTTTTGTTTTACTTAATCTAAATGAAACTTAAACTGAGGCAATACTGTAATGCTTTCCCGCCAATTTCGTACTAAATCGGTTATTTCCGGAACATTATTGTTTTTAAAATATTTGGTATTAGATTACATACAATCACCCAGTCCTGACTGATATGCACTTAATTCAGTTTATAAATGGTTAAGATTCATTGGAATTGTGAAAAACAATGTTCCGGAAAAGACCGATTTATTACGACATTGGCCGATGTTATATTTTTTTTGGCGGGAAAGTATTACAGTAAGACTATCTTCAGTAAGTTGTTATTGAGCACACAGCAGTTTGCTACATAACATCTTTCATTTTTGTTCTTCTGGCATAAACTGGAAAATAATATGTTATTTCTTATTTTCTTCCATATCGTGGCCTTTGCGTTTTATTTCTTACACAGATATGACGAGTGCGCTGTATGCCGTGGTAAAAATGGAGCCACGTGTGTTGATCTAGTGAATGACTTCTCGTGCACGTGCGTACCTGGATACACAGGGAAATTGTGTCAAAACGGGTAAAGTTTTTTTTTGTTTCATAATGTACATTTATGAAGAGCATTACCGCAGAAACAATTGATTAAAACATTATAATAATTCTACAAATAGTTTCAATAAATGTGTTTGAAACAATACAATACAATACAATACAATACAATACAATACAATACAAAATAGCTTTAGTTAATCCACTCTTAAATAGCGATGACCTTTTCTGTCGTAGATATCAATGATTTTTTTTGTCGTAGATATCTATGAATTTTTCTGTCGTACATAACAATGATATTTTCTGTTGTAGATATCAATGATCCTTTCTGTCGTTGATATCAATTATTTTTTTATGTCGAAGATATCAATGATATTTTCTGTTGTAGATAACAATGATATTTTCTTTTGTAGATATCAATAATCCTTTCTGTTGTAGATATCACTGAGACTTTACTGTTGTAGAAATTAATGAATCTTTTCTGTTATAGATATCAATGAATCTTTTATGTCGTAGATATCAATGAATCTTATATGTTATAGATAACAATGGATATTTTCTGTTGTAGATATCAATGATCCTTTTAGTTAAGATATCATGAACTTTTTTTCGTAGATACAATGAATCTTTTTTGTTGTAATATTTAATGAATGCCAACAAACCAAGTATACAATCGCATCGGGGAAAAAAAATTGTAAATGGGGGTTCAGGTCAGTTCCCGCGGTAAGGGGGATTTGTGCAAATAATGAACCTTTTTTATTTTTCTTTTTTCATAATAAAAACGCATAGTCTAGAGTTATATAATTTTGTGTGTAACTAAGTAACCCTAATCTCTGAAAGAAGAAGTAAACAATTGTTATATAATACAATCGTACCTAGTAGAGTAAAAGGAAGAAAGTCCTTCTATTTTTAAAGGGGTTAAAAAGTTATTTCACAAGGGGACAATAAAAATTTTCAATATATCTATTAGTATACTAGCTTGGTACTTTACTATGAATAATTTGTGATCGTTCATGGAGCTTTGGAAACAAATGGTTAAAGGACATTTTGATGAAAATTTTGTTAATAAAACTTTAGAAATAACACGGTGTGTAAGAAGTTAAAAGGCACTTAATAAATAAATAAATAAATAAATAAATAAATAAATAAAGATAATTCATATATGTTGCAAATGAGTGTTTGTTTAAACTAACAAGACAAAAAAAAAGGTTTTGAGAAATAAAAATAAGGCATAATGGGCTTAAGAAAGCGAAGAAAGCGATGACTATCCAGAAGATGACATTTTGACAAATGAAATTACCATAAACGAGCTGAAAGACTGTTTTCGTGATATGAAATGTAGAAAAGCACCCGGTCTTGACTCTATTACAACCGAGCACATCATTCATGGAGGTGAAACATTAGCTTCATACTTGTTAAAACTTTTCAACATAATGCTTGAATGTAATTTATATTCCTGGAGCATGCAAATCTGGAGTAATAATTCCAATACATAAGGAGGGGAAACTTAAACAGAACCAAAAAAGTTATCGACCAATAACCCTTCTGCCAGTTATTTATAAACTATTTGAACGAGTGCTTCATCATCTTCTAACAACATGGACAGCCTCAAGCAGCTAAAATTTCCGAGCGCACAACAAAATGCGTATCAAAAAACATTTAGGACCAGTAACCGCATCTTTCAATTTACAAGAAGCTGCACTATCATACACAGAGAGTAACTCTAGTGTGTATGCCGCTTTTCCTAGATACTGCAGGTGCATTTGACAATGTGAGACATAGTGCCATTATCATGAAAAATGCATAATTTAGGAATCAAAGGTAAATTTCTGCGACTCATAATTAACAGTTTTAAAGATATATTTGGCTGCGTCACCGTTAATGGGCGTTACGTCAGATATATATTCCCAGTTTTGCAGGGCATTCGACAGGGCGGGATAATGTCTACTACTTGGAGCTACCTACTTTTATTGATGAGCTTTTACAAAATCTTGAAAGTTGCAAACATGGAATTATAACCGGTAATATTGCATGTGGCAATCCAACACTTGCCGATGATTTGACACTGTTAAGTCCATCGTTAACATCTCTAGAGAATCAGCTTGCTATTGTTAACACATACGCAAATGCATGGGGATATGAATTTAACTATAGCAAATGTTGTGTATTGAAGTTTGGCGGAAAAATTTCTGACAATATATTTCAAGCAAACTTGGTCATTCTGAAATATCAATCATGTGATACCGTTGTACATGTTGGAATTAAACTTAATAAGACATTAAGTGTAACAGATACAATCGATCAACGTATACATAAAGAAAAATCGTCACTTTTTTCAATATCATCCCTAGAAAACAATGTTGGTGATATAAATCCACTGACCCTAGCATCATTATTAAAAAAGTATCATTTTCAACCTTTCTCTATGGGGCTAAACTATGGCATAACATTTCAAATACTGACATTGTAAAGATCCAACGATTTGAACGATTGGCAGCGAAACAAATACAACATCTCCCACAGTCAACTAGAACGGACATGGCTCTGAGCACACTGGGATGGTTTACTATTGAAGCAGACATAGACCAGAGAAAGCTAACTTTCCTACAAAAACTGTGTACTATACCAACACATTATCTGTCAAGAAAACCATTTAATTACAGACTTAACTTATTTGTTATGAAAGGTTATTGTTATCAACGCGGTTTTGTTCCAGAAATATGCAGACTTTTGTACAAATACGGATTATTCCATTTCATTTCTGACTACATGAAACATGCACATTTTCAATGCAAATACTCGTGGAAAAATACTATTAAAAAGGCAATTACACATACACAAAACAACATGTGGCAACAAAGAATTAACAGTGACAGAGATTTTGACAGATTTATAGCAGTTCATCAATCAGTAACGCCTTTACATTTATGGCTTTTTTCAAATACAAACAGTGAGATTAAACATGCTATAAGTGCAACGAAAATACTTCTATATCGACAGTTTTATACAAGTTATTCCTGTACAAAATGTCTACAAGAAACTAGTGATATAAACAGACATATCTTAGCTGAATGTGATACATATACACGTGAACGAACACGCTTTACATATTCAATTGATCAGAAATTTAGCTCTGAAGTTTGCAGCTATTTTCTTAGAATTAACTCGGAAGCATTCTTGCGAGGACTCTTTGATTCCAATTTATTGGCTGTCTTTGGTATTAATCCAGAACTCCAAAAAGGCTTCACCAACTTATGTTGTAAATACGTTCACGACCTAACGATGGAATATAAAAAGTTATCTCTAGAACATTCTAATAACATTCTCCATGAGAGGATGTTTACCTTAGACTTCTAAGGTTAAATGCAATATAATAAATCCATACTAAATGTTCCTATACATGACACTTATATTTCGTGTTTTCGATAAGTTATAAATGTAATCGGGAAAATATTTAGTAAAAGTGCATTATAAATATTCAGTAAATACCATTATGTCTAACATTGACAATATATCGTGTGCTTATTAATAAGTTAACATTGTGTATGCAGGTTGTTATAATTCTATATAATGTATCTCTATATTTAATGTATGACATTGTGTATGACATGCTTTTCGTGTATATAATCAGTAATCGTATGTTATTATGTTATGTTCTCATGTAAATGTGTTAATTAATTGTTATATCAGTCACTGAAAAGTGGAATAAAAGATTATATAAACAAAGTAATTGTCTTGTTCTGTTCTGTTTTGTGTTTTAGATATTGACGAGTGCGCGAATGTCACGTGCCAGAATGGAGGCATTTGTAATGACTATATCAACAGGTTTGAGTGTAAATGTCCCATGGGATTCAATGGAACATATTGTGAAAATTGTACGTCAATATATCACTACTATCAAATATATATATTTATATATTGCTAAAGGTAAAATATTAACAGTTTTGCGTTTATTAACATAGAAGGTGTTCAGATCAAATAATCAGAACACTATTCCGTATTAGGAACAGCATTATAACTATATTATGGAAAAGGTTTCAAGAACACCATTTTTGTATTATATTACTTGCTTATTTAATTAGTTTAATAAAATTTTATTGTATATAAACACACATATATATATACATCTGTATCGTGTCTGTAAGCATTGAATCATTTCCTATATTTTGATTTGAAAGTTAAAACCAGAGCATTCTACGAATATTCGTTTTTATGAAATATAAACAATAGATAAGATAAAAAACAAATCAGTTAACAACAACAACATCATCGTCAACGACAACAACAACAACAACAACAACAACACAACAAAAAATCGCAAAAAACTAACAACAACAACAAAAGCAGCAGAAGCAGCATCTTAAAGCCACCGCTACCACAAAGAAAGGGACTAGCCGCCATAAAATTACTGGCATTATTTCAATAGTATGCCTGCGTCGAGTATTTCATGAACACTTTGTTCAAGTCTTCTTGTCTTTTTTTGTAGCGCTCGGGCGCGTGTGTTATAATTGTGAAGGAGTTGCCGATGACCCTACCCGTTGTGCTAACAGGACATTATGTGGTCCTGGTGAGGTAAGTACGTTTATATTATTAATTACATTCAACTAGATCAGTGTATCAATCCCCAGTACCTGCTTTGATTGGTTTAGTTTTGTGCAATTAAGAACAATATCTGTCTTTTTGATGGTTAATAGTACAGTGTTTAAAGCTAAGTACTAATTTATTTTAGGTCGATTGTGTTGGAAGCTATAAGCTCTTTGAAACACTCGCGAATCCGTTCCTTGAAGCAACCAGTACTGATCAATAAGTGTAAAATTTCTTGCTCACGGAAACAACGGATTGTCCATGATGGGGTTTGAGCCTATGCAGCCAACAATACTTAAATTACTAGTCCGGCGGGTTGACCACTAGGCCTCGCTGCCACTCAGTACTTAGCTAGACATTTGTTTTATCGTCATTAGTATAAATATACATGTATATTCAACATAAACGTAAATAAACAATGCATTCTATAGAAGTAAAAGACCACTTGTTAGAAGAATATTATTTATATACATATTTTTTATCTATTCTTTTTTGTGGAATATATATGTCGATAATACGAACCAAGGGATCCACAACCCTTATTTCTCTGCCGTGTATTATGACTTGATATCTTGAAACGTATAAGGCAACGATTATAATATCTATAATATTTAAAAAAAAGAAGCATTCTTTCCATTCCCCTAGCAATGTTATTCTGAGCACGAACTTGACGCACCTGGTGTGTTCACCTATAACCTTGGCTGTGTACCTTCCAAGCTGTGCTCCTATCTCGAGAACAAAAACTTCAGGCGCCGTGATATCCGTCCGGTTCAACTTTGTTACGAATGCTGCGACATAAATGGATGTAATCACCACGCATGCGCTGATTATAACTGATAAATCTCATCAGAATGTTTTATTTCTAATAAAAACATATCTGCAAATATAAAACCATTTTTTCGTTTTTTATTTCATTTATTAATAAACCAGCACCTTACTTTATTTATGTTTGTAGGGTATATAAGTAAAATGCTTTCATATTCTACATTTATTACAAAGTCGTCACAATCTTGGTGACAAAATAGGAGCAATACTACAAGTTTTAGGTAGTGCCAAATACTTTGCAAGTTATATAGCAATGGGACCAACGAATGATGATTTCACCATAATTGAGGAAGACCTCAGATGCTTCTCCATACATTATTACAACCAAGAGCGGGTACCGGAGAAGCGAACTTTCGTAATTTACCTTCCTCATTAAAATAACAAGTCCGAGGCGGGATACGAACCAACAGCGGCGAGGGGCAAGAAATTTGAAGTCGACGACACTTACCTTGTTCTATTAATCACTCGTCCACAGAAGTAAGAAATATTACACAACACTGACAACCTCCTGCATTAGAGTGACCGATTAGTCAGTCCGTAAATATTTCAGGCACCGGCGACTGGGGCTTAGTTTAAACATATTTTATTCCTTTCAATTTTTTACAACATGTACAATGCAAATATATAGAAAGAAAAATATATAAATACATTTTGAAAGAAAAAGGGTTGGACCACAAGTTCAAATAACATTAGTAAATCGGTCCGTCCCTAGTACGAATATAAAAAAAGTATTGATACCATAGATTACATTGAAATGGCATTGAGAAATATAACAAAGTACATGTATTTTAGGAACAAGAAATGTTAGATCATTTGCTGAGAGAGAGAGAGAGAGAGAGAGAGAGAGAGAGAGGATGTACTTTTGACAGTCGCAATTTATTGTTTTTAAAGAGTAAAAAACTTCAGCATTAAGCAGATTTTATCGGAAACGTTCCGTATGCTTAATATATCTTTGAACTTCTAAAAATATTAATGAATTGTCTTCTTCGGAATAGGTAATCTTACCAAAAAGAAGAGTACACGTATTTAATGGATGAAAAATGCGAGTAGCATTAAAAAGTTGAATACGTTGTGATGTATACCGTCTGCAATTGAAAAAGAAATGTTTAGCATCTTCGAAAGCATAACCGCATTCACAAGATGCATTTTCTCTTAAATGATTTATAAATAAATCAGCATTTAAATTGCTACATTTGTTACGAATTTGAGCATGTAGAACCGAATGTAGACGATCCCCGATACAGAAAAAATTAGGAACTGTCGGAGGTTTGAATTTCTGTTTAAGTTTGCATTTAAATATATTAAGGGAGGATGAATTTCTTATGTCAGTATCCAAGTTATTCCATAATGACGTTGCTGATGGAATAAATGAGTTTGTAAAAATTTGAGTACGACGTGCTACAGTTGTATAATTATCTCTGTTTCTTAAGACATAAGGTACATTATTAGAAACGGTATCTGGAAAAACGTTTAAGAAATAACCCGGTAAGGTGCCCTGTTTAGCTTTATATACTGTAACGAGTTTTTGAATAGTTCGTCTGTCGGACAATGATACCCAACCGATTTCATTAAGCAAACGCTCAATAGAAACAGACCTTGTTAGGCCGGTGACGATACGTGCCGCTTCATATTGAAGTTTCTCAAGAGAGTGTTTCTCGTAATCCGCGCATCCATCCCAGACAATTGACGCATATTCTAAGATTGGTCTCATGTAGGAAATGTATATTTGATTTAAAGTTTTCCGTTTAAGTTTGTATTTTAATGCTCTCATAGATCCTAGAACTTTGGAAGCAGACATTAATATATTGTTTATGTGGTCATGCCATTTACCATCAGTACTAAAAGTGACACCTAAGTGTTTGTGACTGTTAACATAATCAAGAGAAACATTATCAAAGTAGAGAGATGGCTTATCGTCAGATCCAAGTGTGAAAAATAACACTTCTGTTTTGTTAGGATTAAAGTTAACTAGCCAACGTTTCGACCATTCCGTAATTTTATTTAAGTCTTCATTAAGGGTACGTTCCATAAAAGCAATATCAGAATTGGAAACTGCGAGAGAGCTATCATCTGCAAAAAGTCTTGTTACACTGATTAGATTATCGGCAATGTCATTGACATAAATTAAAAATAATAAGGGGCCAAGGACAGAGCCTTGGGGGACCCCAGCAGTGATATGTTTACTTTCAGAATAGGAGGAACCAACAAAGACCTTTTGATTTCGATTACTTAGATAATTATTAACCCATTTTAGAATCTGACCATTAATTCCGTATTGTTTTAATTTGAATATAAGTCCTTCGTGCCATACTCTATCGAAGGCTTTTGAAATGTCACAAAAAACCATACATGTTGGGATTTTATTATCAAAAGAATAACAAATTTGATGGTAGATGTCAAGTAATTGATACACAGTCGAATGCCCTGGCAAAAATCCAGACTGATTTTCGTAAATTAATTTATTTGCGTGTAAATGGTTATAAATGTGTTTAAACATAACTCTTTCCATAATTTTTCCAGTACAACTAATTAATGAAATCGGTCTATAGTTCGAAGGGATATTCTTATTACCCTTTTTAAAAAGCGGCATGACAACAGCTGATTTCCAAGGGGCCGGATATATACTTTCAGATAGTGAACGGTTAAATAGAATACAAAGAGGCTTACAAATAGAGGCCTTACATTCTTTAAGCATACGATGACTTACTTCATCTGGGCCTGATGACTTATTAATTACAAGGGACGATAATATATCAATAATTTCCATTTCAAGAATTTGAAAAGATTGTAAAACTTCATTCGTTTTAGTACTAAAGTTTGGAAGACTTGCATTAGCGGCGTCAATTGTTGATATAGAAACAAAATAATTATTCAAACAATTAGCTTTTTCAGTATCGGAAGAATAGATAACATCATTTCCATTAATTTCAATATTTAAGGGGGGTATAATTTCACAATTTTTATTTTCTTTCACAAGCTGTTTGACTGTTTTCCAATATGAACGGGGGTTGTTTTCACTACTGTCACTTAATGAGTATTCTAAGTCATTATAGTATTTTTGTTTTGCGTGTGTTTTAAGATTATTTACTTTATTTCGAAGTTGTTTATATTTAACCCAATCGGTAATTTCTCCGGATTGGACAGCTTTTGCTTTTTGACGATCTCTTTTACGGGAAGTAAGACGAATGATAGAATCGTACCAGGGTCTGTCATTTGGTCTGATAGTTATGTAATTAGAAGGGATACACTGTTTCGCAAGCTCCATAAATTTTACATTAAAGATTTCGGTTGCTTCATCGAGAGTATTAGAGTTAAGAAATGACCAGTCTGTTGTTAGTATTAAATCGTTAAGTTTCTCAAAATCAGCGCGATTGTAATACCACACAAGTCTTTTGTAAGGTACTGATTGGGGTTATTTAAATTTGATATAAATATAAGTGCCAAAATGATCACTGATATTCCTCGGTGTCTTAAAAATACCCGAATGTAAAATTAAATTCTGGTCTGAGATAGCAATTGGATCAATAAGAGTTGACGAGTTGTCTGCTACTCGTGTCGGTTCCGTAATAACATTATACATATTATTCAAAATTAATATATCGCGAAGTTTATGGTTCCTTATGTTTAACTGGTCTTCATTAATGTCACCTACAAATAGGACTCTTTTTGATTTATTAAAAGCATTTTCTAGACAAATATTCAATCTAACCCAAAAGTCTACATTTGTATTAGGTGGACGATAAATATTACCTATCAAAATTTTTTCATTACGGTCTTTTATTTCAATCCAAAGTGATTCTGGTAAGGTATTTTTCCAAATCAATTAACCTTTTTAGATACGAACTTTTCATTAACATAAACTAAAAGTCCACCAGAGTGACACGTGTTGTCTTTACGGTATATTTCGCTGAAATTAGTTAGTTTCAAACTGTCAATAGTGATTGAGTTGTCCAAATGTGTTTCCGTAAAACAGATAATATCAAAGTCTAACCAGTTATCTGTAATATATTCAATTTTATTCCGAATACTTCTTATATTCTGATGAAAAACTGATAGAGATCCGTCACTGATATCATTAGGCCCTGGATTTAATTCAATATCACCTGATAAAATTATAAGATTTGATAAAAGAAATGCAAAATGTAAGTTCAACGACTGAGATAAAATGTTCGATGCTTCGAACAAGTTAACAAGTTCATTAGTCAATTGATTACCGACATATAAAGAAACAAATACCCCAAAATAAAGATTGACAATATTCAAATAGATAAACCGGGTAGCACGTCGTATTAATAACACATACTGCATTAAATAGATAAAAACTTTCATTAACGCTTTATACGGATAGCTACAGTATCGAGTTTTCTTAAGCAACCTCTGAGTGCTGTTATAAAAAAGACCGATCGCCGCGCGGTAAGCACTTAAATCATTCATTACCTAAACGGATACAGGCTAAATGCTAGTAAGATTGTACCGACGACGGCGACAGACAGGTAATCAAAACTTAGCAACATCACGCCAAAAATACATCCTAAAAGACTGGATTTAATAGAAAAAAAGAAAAATAAGAAAGATATTATAAGATAGTACATTATCATCAGTGTGGAAAGCAAATAGAGATATTTTGATTTGTAAAATATAGAGAAAAAATATACTTGTTCAGAAATAACACATATTCACATATTATTAATTGGCAACACTTACCTGAGACAAACTTTGGAACTTGCACAATACAGAAATTCAGTAGGTATATGAAGCCTAAAATAATTTATTCATGATATTTTACCGATAATGCAAATACCCCGAGTAGATGTTGCCAACCAATATACAAAACTCATGTAATTGAAAAAATATATATATCATCAAGATCAAAAAGACAACAACAAAAAACAACAAAAAGCAGTAAACGTTCGGATAATGCTTAATTGAAAAATAGAATGCACCACGTTTACCTGATTTCATATGTATATACACATACATGTATATGCTTAACAAAATATATTGTTCTAATGGAAATGGACTAATGGAAAATGCATTATCGAACAATTTGTGAATGTGCATAATCA